CTGAAGACGAAGCGGGGTCTCCAGCTTCGAAAATTCACAAAATAAAAATTCTGTTTCCCGAAGAACCTATTGAACTTCAATAAATCAAACTACATCAGTACATTGATTAATTGCGGGCAAACGAGGACCCCCACGCCCAAGGAGCAGCCATGACCAATTCTTCCATTCATTACCGACAGCGAACCACCGGTAAGTAACGACACCTCAGCGAAGTCGCAGAAAGCTGGTTCAACCGACTGTAATAAGGGTCATCATGTGCACTAGAAAGGTACTGCATAGAAACATATAGCTACAGAGTCACTTCTGACCTCGAAACCGTTTTTGAACGCCTTTTGCACTTGAGATCGAATTTCGTCCAGTTCGCTACCAAAAGCCCCAACTGAGCAAAGAGCCTCTTCGGAGAATTCTCGCTTAAGAGTTGAAGATACAGATTCACCAGGATCAACCATGCCCTAGAAGAGGACACGAAAACAGTAAGAGGCAGTTGTGTTCGAGAAAAAGAATTCATCCAGACGAGTAAAGTAAAAAATAACACATTAATTTAAGGTGGATTGAGTGCAACTACCTAGCTTTGTAATCTTTATATTTTACGAATTGGAAAAAAAATGCACCCTTGTTCAAAGGCAGAAAGTTGCGAGACACAATTAAGACAGTAAATACTGAGAAGATTGACTTAAGTATGATTAGAATGGGAAATGTTTCGATAATTTTCTTTTCCCGCGGGACAAGACACAATTTACTCATGTAAACTAACAAAAGAATACCAGTACAGGCATACATAAATCATTTTTTCCAGGGTGATGAATAAATGGGAGACTAAAGCGCAAAGCCAGTAAAACGTAGGTGTGCTTCGTCGATTGATCATTACTCCGCTGAAAGAGAAGAACTTCCATGCGCACAGTCCAGCACCGATCATACGTATTTTGAGCGGGTGACTTCGTGGGTTCGTTTTGATTACTAACCTGCAAAGTCACCCACTATGTGATTGGTGCCAGGCCAGACACAGAAGTTCTTCTTTCTCAGCAGAATAGTGGCAGTTGGGGAGGCGGTGTTATGTGTGCACCTGTAGAAGTTTTTAGACAGAAACCAGGTCAGCATTGCAGTACGCATCACTGTACAACCGCCGTCATCTTGATGCCTCATCTATCTAATTATTACTGTTATAATGTTTAAATGACGCTTGCTTATAGAAGTTATTAATGTTTTGACCTCGGCGCGTATCCTCCACCGAAATTTACTGTAACACTTGCAGACCAGGGGCCATCCTACTTTAACTGTAGCATAAGTGTGCTGATGAACGAAATAGTTCCGCACACCTATTCTATTCCCTTTTAGCTAATATAGTAACTGAGGTTACCAAGACGGTGGAGGTAAACAGAGGCTGCATGCACATCAAAACTCGGAAATACGGAACAAAATCTCCAAAACTTCCCTCCACTGGAAACAATTGCATAGCACGGCATACCAGATTTAAAGAGAAAAATCTCGCAGACTCGTATTAAATTCGCGAAAGAGACACTACCTAGCAATGGTCATTCATCCGAGAAATGGTTCACAAGTAGAAGATGCGATCACTCGAACAAGAATTCTATTTTTCTGATGTTTTGGATTCTGTCGAGAATCCTTAATAATAGGTAACCGTAGGATAGTGTAAGACATGCGCAGTGTTCCAGTGATCACATCTTCTTCTGAACTGCTTCCTGAAACCAGCATATTTACTTTTATCGCTTCACAAGTAGATGTTAAACCCGCCGGGCATCCGGTGAGCGGCCAAGACGGCGAACAGAGTGGGAAATGTACTCTTCATTCACCCTCTAAGAGCTTGAAACGAAGACTGTGCAGTTGAAGTAGCAATTTATAAGGCTACCAGCTGCTGGAATAACTCGGTTAATTTCAGGAGGGGGCCCGGATCATGAAGGGCACGCGTCAGTTGGCTTTTTAATTTGGTTGGCAACTGCGTTTGCACTTACCTATTATAATCGCGACTTTCTGCTGACAATGCAACAATACGATGGGGTGATTTT